AGTGATTGTTAGTGATTGTAGTCAGTAATGACTACAGTCACTAAAATGTTGATATAAAGTTAATTAAAGTTGTTGTTTATCAGATATCCATCAATAAGTTTTGACATAAGCCTACTTTGACAAAAGTCACTTATTATATACACCGTAATATTGTAAGAGTTCAATTAAAAGCCTTTTTTCTCGAAAACCGTCCACATAAGGAAGTTCTAACAAGAGTACATTATTTTTCGAAAATAAAATTGTACATTAGAAATTGGAGCCCGAATGGTAAAAAACCTAACCTTAAATATTAGAACTTAAAATGTAATAGGAATGTAGCATAACTAGCGCCCTCTATGGAATATCCAAAAAATAATTTGACCAGCGTATTTGGCGTCCTTAAAAACACTGGAATACCAAATTTTATAAAAATATTTCGCACCGTTTGGAAATATTTAAAAAAATTTATTTTATCGCTTTGTATCTCGAAAACAAGAAGAGATAGATATCATATAGTTCATATAACAAATAAGTCTTATTTTTTGTTGTACTATCAGCCCCTGTATTTACCGGAGGTCTTTCTGAAACACCCTGTATAAAACCTATTATTTAGAGTTGACTTTTTTCTAATGTGATTTAATTTAACTATTATTGAGTCATTTTTGCTCAGACTTGGTTTTTAATTAACTAAATATTGAGTGCAAAAATAAATCACTCATAAATTGAGGCCCCTTGGCGGGGCCTTCTCCTGTCCTGGCTGAGACCCGCAGCTGAGACCCGCCGCCGGCTAAGACCTGTTCTCCTGGCGATCACGCTTATCTGGAACATCTAACGGGCTCCTATCAACTGTGGTCGAGATTACAGAAGCAATATGTAAGTGGTGCCATCTTCACGGCGCCATACAAATTACTCGAAATTAATATACATTTAAATTCATTCAGTAATAAGGACATTTACTCTGATTTAGGCACTAAATACGAGTTTACGTGAAGAATTTATTTAAGAAGTACCTATATTTGAGCGAAAGTACTCAGTTTTAGTTTAAATATAATCACAAATGAGTAAAATGATGAGAATGCCCAATATTGAGTGAAAATGTACTCAATAATTTCACTCAATGAATTCACTCCGAACCTTTATTGCTTTCACTCACACCGATTTTTTTTACAGTGTGTTTTAACCAGTTTCACCCAAAAATTTCACTTTTCTCCGAAATTTGTCGTAAAGTCCTGAATTTTATCTATAGGATCATGTTCAGCGCATCGAACTCCTTCGGAAATTATATGTGGCACTCTTAGGTTTAGCCTTTGGTCTTTTTTGTGTGGCTGTGTTAAATATAGTGTCAAAATTATAAATGTATGTAACGGATTGTGAGATTAAAATTAACAGGAACTTCTCATTTAACTGATCCTAGACCCCGGATGCACAGTCTTATTAAGGTCAAGGGTCATATACATATAGTCATTATGATTAAGTTATTGGGATAGTACGAGACCGAGTGGGTTCCGAAAATTCACTTCAGTTTCCAATGCAGTTCAAGAAACGTTCCAAAACCCATTCACAGGATACCAAAGGCATACAACCATAGATGAGTGATGCATACGACCCACTCCGCACATCGGGAAACATGCAGAACTCAAAACCAGAAATTCACCGATGTTTCGAAATTTTTCCAAAATTCCTTTTCGAAGCCCCGAAAATTAAAACATTTCTAAATACTAGGAAATTAGGACTGGGGCAGCACAATACCATCATAAATTATTAAACTTAATTACAGGTTTGTAACCCTTCTGAGACAGCTACCATTTCAAGATGGACACTTTTTGAGGAGGCGAAATATCAGAATCCAACGCGAACACCACTTAAGGACCCTCGCAGACACAGCCCGGGATGTGTTCGAACGTCCACCCTAGTAACCTGCAACTTATTAACCACGGACGCATACTTGATCGGCAATCGCTATTACTTTCATTTATTGTAAATTGACGAGAAAATTCGATCGATCGATTCGCTTTGTTACATTTAAGTCGAAAAAATTGATCAAAGATATTTTGAAATTTCTCCTAACTAACAACCGAGTACGTAGGTATCACTCCCGCTTTCTATACACTCTCGAGTGAAAATAATTCGTGTTGCAATCAGGGCGTAGAACGATTTGTGTAATCTTAATTATTTCGGATTGTTGTCGATGATTTGCCACCAACGGATTATTACAGGCAAGTTGCGGTTATAATAGAATTCCTCCACGGTTATTCCAGACTGCGTGTCGCAACGTACGTAATCATAAAAGAACTCGGGAGGTAATAATGTGAAACGTGAACGCAATCGTTTTCCGAGGAAAAAAATCTATCCTGTACGCAATACTGCACATAATGCTGATAGTTGAGTGAGTTGTAATTGATTTGTATTAATTTAATTATCAGTAACGCGACGTTCTAATGCCCATGACACCTTTACAAAGTAAGCAACTCTCGGAGTACAATAATTAGTGTTAAGGCACCTATATGCTGACAGTTTAGATTGCCCTTTACTTTGCCAGACAGCTTGTAAAATGTATTATACATCACAAAATCTCAGAAAACACCAAAATTTGACAAAAATAAAAGGATCCAGTGTAGAAGCTACGCGGTTTTGTAAAGTTGTCCGTTTACGTTCTTGAAATATTTAAAAAAGTATTTTTTTTCAAAGCCATTGTTCTATTATTACTTATTTCTCTTAAGGGATTACAGAGGTTTGGATATTTCAAAAAATCCATTTTTCTAATTTTGTATCTAATAATAAATGTCAAGAATATTTTCCCAAAGTTTCAAGTCAATAGGAGTGAATCTCTAGGAAAGAGTGAGCCTTTGGAAGTTCCTCTCATTAGGTTCGGCCGACCGGGAACGTAGCAGCTGCTTAGCTATTGTTTGTCTGTCTTTTTCGCTCGTTTCTCTCGATTTCCGAGGGTTACTTTATTAAATATCTTAGTTTTATGTAGCTGGTATTGACAATTCTATGTAAGTTAAACAAAATTTTTCTCCGTTTTATTTCTACTTAAAACTTTAAGCGCTTTTTTCTCAAAACTCTATTTTTGAAGACGGTGAACTTGATCAAAAACTAATGCACCGATATTATTGAAGTTTTGCACACTTCTCGATAGGATTGATTAGTGATTGAAAGAAGGTTTTTTTTCTTTGATCATAACTTATTCTACAAAGCAATACGTGATGTAAATTTTACCGATAATTGTACTTTTTTGCATACAAAGGTACGTAAATTATTAGTTGTTTGTTGTCTGAAAAATTATTCTAGTATAAGTTCTTAGTTTTTTTAATAATGCAGGGTATTGATTATATGTATATCAGCACATTTTTTATGTTTCAATTCATTGTTAAAAATTCAATCTTTTGAAGGAATCAGTTTGGCTCTATCATATATAACTATTAAAAAAAACGTCATTTAGAGTTTTGTTAAAGAAAAAATACTGATTTTTCAAAACGTTAACTATAATTCAATGTATCTTTTATTTATCTGATTTTTTCACTGTGAAATATTTGAGCGAGCAAAATAACTCACTAAAAACAACACCTGACTGATTTTTTTTGGAGCAACAGTTTGTTTAATTATTATTTAAGTTTTTTCACAACTTGCAAAAGTCGATTGCTGTGGGAATGTCATTATTGTCGTGTTTCTTTAGGATTCTCATCACTATACACATGCAAATTATGAAGTGTCCGCAGTGTATCAAGACAATTAAACGGAATTGTAAATTTTCATAATTTGCATGTGTGGAGTAATGAGAATACTAAATAAACACGAGAATAATCACATTACCTGATAGCCACAACAATCAATATCTTGTTTACATCGCCTACTGAACTCAAAGTTTTAAACCGAAACGTACACACATGCAAATAATGCCATTTTTGTCAAGAATGGCTTTCTGTAAGCGATTTTCTCAAGAGACAATATTTTTTTTTTAAATAAAACGACCTTTTCAATGTTGCCGTACCAAATGTACCAAATTTTAACGCGATCGGTAAAAGGGTTATTAAATTATTAATTAAATTAATTTTATTTTTGACAACTTTGAAGGCTTGTAACTCAAAAACCTAAAAATTTTTATTTAACTTTTTTTTCGTAGATCATCTTTATTTATCATCGTGAATGTGCAGTCAAACGTTGTCGGTGAAATTTGCGGACACCCTGTATATTTTTTTTGTACATCATGCATTATATCAATCTGTTCATTTAGAGATAGTCCATGTGATTCAAATTTACAGAATTACGGAACTTGGGGTTCTCTAGTTTGTTTAATGGAATATTACTAGAAAGAAAGGCGTCTGTAAGTTCATAGAAAAATATAGTCTTCAGCGCTGGACAAGGCATGGCTCTTCAAATGTCTTGTCACTTTAGTTTTGTCACAAGAATTTACAATGCGTTCACACACAGTACAAAACAAGTCCTTTAATACGTATGTTCCTGTAACCTTCGGGATCTTTGTCAAGCCACATTTGAAATAATTCACGTCTAGTTCTTTTCTCTTTTGGCATTTTACTTCACTTTTCACCTCAACTATTAAGTTGTTAATGTAAATTACGTTACTATTTATAAATAGTTGTTTAAATACACACGGCTCCGTAAATAACTGAACAGTACAAAACGCAAGTCATCTGTGAAGGCCACCGACCCTCGCGCCGGCTCTGTCAGACTCTGCACGTGCACTAAGCCTAACAATAAATTAGAACCAGTTCAATTTTTTTATAGTTTTTCGACCAATTTATTAAAATTTACCATAATTTGTGTATTAACATGCAATAATACAACTAAAAGCCGATTTTATATAATAAATTTTATTTTTCCCAAAAAGTAAACGATATATTATAGAGCTTTTGACGAAACACTAGTGACAGTTTAAAAATATTGTAGTAAATAATAAACGTTTCTAGTAACTATTCCTTTACAAGTGAATCAAGATCAAATGGTAATAGTTGTCATTTAGCCTGATACTGTTATTATGAAATTAAAATCGAAAGTCTTACCTGTACACATATGGCCCTACTTCTTGAACCTGTAAAATGTCAACTTCTCCACTCATGTATTCCTCTTTATTTGTCACATTCCAGAGGTAAACTTTCAAGTAGAGCTCAACTGGTGGTTTCCTCCACAGTTCAAAGATTTCCCCGCCTTCCCCAAACACCAGTTTCTGTAAAGAAGTATTGAAGATATATGCATTTTAATAACTATCGTTTTTATGAAATTTATTTGGTACAACTTTATACTAGATAGAGTCTAAAGACGGCCAAAATCACTTAGTTTTGAGCGTTTCGCGTGAGACGTACAGAGGTATACATTTTTACGATTTACTGACCTAACCTAACTTAGGTATCAGTTTAATTTTTTATAAAACAGTTTTTTTTAATACGAAGCCTGCTATCTTAGCCGTTAACCAACATATATTGTTTTTTATATGCAAAATATACTCACCCATCTGTATAAGAGGTCATATGGATGGTATACTAATATCAACGAACCCGCTACTAATCCGAGAATTCCTAAAATTGATATTGTAATGGCACCTGTAACAAAGAGACACAAATTGTATTTTATGTCCAACCAACTTTTTGGTGATCATAAACAAATACCTTAAGAGGCAGATTGTGTTATTTTCCAATAAATTCTTTGATAAAATATTGAGAACGTGAATTTGTTGTTCGTAAAAATTTCCTATTTAAGTAATTAATTAAACAAATTGGAATCTTGTTTTAAATATAGTCTTGTTCATTAAAACTTTCCTCCGGTAGATCATTAATATTTATAAAAAGTGGTTCAAAATGCGTCAATGATTAAACTATGTTTCCACAAACATTAAATATATTATACAGGGTGTTCCTTTTAAAAATCCAACGTTGACGACCTCTAAATAAAGTGTTAAAATGTATCACGCTGTATATTACATTCCATTATTTCTATTAGATACGGAATATTGAATTCTTAGTATATACTTTGCATAATTAGTTTTTTAAACCACTAATTGTAAAGACACGTTACCGTGTTGTGGATATTAAAACAGTGGATTCGATACAAAAAAAAGCTAGTTGCGTAATATTGTAAATTTATTTACATATTTCTGCATTTTATGCAGTGCTATTTGAGTTGTTATTTTAACTAATGTAAAGTGTTATGTTTAATTTAATTCAATTTACAAAATAATGTTTTTTTCTGAACCCACTCTTTTAGTTTGTCGAAATTTGGTTGCAGCTCAAGTTAAAATAAATGTTGAATATTGTTTTTTGAGTTAACGAGAACTGATATTTTGTTTCTTTTTATTGTTTAGGTAAGAAAAATTTGATGAATTTAGTTTAAATATGCTTATTTGCCTTTTGTGCTTAATTTGTGGTTAAATATGACCAATTTAACATTTGAAGGCATCCAGAATATAAGTCTTGTTAAAATATATATTGTTTTTTTGCTAATTGAATTTTATTCTAAAAAAATATATAAGTATGCTCCTAATTCTTGGAAAAAGTTTTTTTCCGCTTTCTTTTCTTTTTTTTTATTATTACAACTAAATCTAAATCCTTATGTAATTGGAAAAAAGGCAGAAATGCCCGAAAAAGGTTTAACAATTACAAAATGTCTTTTTTTCTCAATACTTTCTTTTCGTTTTTTAATATTATCTCACTTATTGTTAGACAAACAACAAACCCTATTTCACTATGCTCGGCAGAAAACGTTCTATCCAAATATGTAAAAATATACAGGGCGTTCCATTTAAATTAACAAAGGCCGTTTTGTTTGGATTCAGTTGTTTTTCTACTATCAATTTCAAAAACTTAATAAAAAATAGTGCAACTTTTATATTTCACATTTTTTTAAACACACTTAAAACAAAATAAAAATAATTGCGGGGTCAAAATATAGTGAATCACCCTGTACATCTTCAGGAACATAAAATTACATTTTAAAATTCCTAATTTCGCATCTGTTGATAAATACAGTAAGTCATCGTTCCACTTTTTTCATATTATTTTGAGAATTTCCAACAAAATATTATTTCCAAAAATGTAATTAGATACGCTATTCAATGACTAATTCTATATTTATATATTTCGCATAGAATTTAACCTAGCGACGTGTATGAATTGCAAAACAACTTATGGAGTTACCGAAATCTCGAATATTTAGCCAGTCCGGCACTGTCAAGTATGTAAAGTAATTAATTTTAGTTCAGGCGACGAAACGCAACAAATAGCGTAGGTATACGCGTCAGAATTAAAGTGATCTTTAATCCCTCTGTTGATCGGTAACGTCAATGTAGTTTAGGTACACTTTTCCTATTGCAGAAACGGTTTATTTGGAACATATTTGATTCCTTTTGTTTTTTATCGTAAACTTAACAGTAGCTCAGCAAAAATATAAATTTGTAGACGGTTGCCAGACATTTAACAGGAGTTAAAGCCTTATGAAATACACTTTAGTATACAATACACTATTGGATTTTTCTTCGGTAGATATGAATAAAACTATAGTAAATAAACCTTGAGAAAATAGGTCTATCCCTTTGAGTGGTCCTTTTTTATATAAAAATTAAAAGTTACAGTACTTACGCACGTTTTGTCGGTTCAAGTTGTATATTATCGAGGGTCATTTCCAATTGCTATCTTCAAGAACGGAGAATGGTTATTCAAATTAGCTATATAGGTAGGTCGTGATTAATGCATTATTTTAACATTTTGGCAAATTTCAAGGAATTTTTGCGTATTTAAATTACAGTTATCGAGAAAGGTCGACTATAGAAGGACCATGAATTTAGTAGAGATCGCGGAATATATCATTAATAACAGGAAAAGTTGTAGTATCTGCTAATTAATGCTTATGGATGTTGTAAATCGGAAGTGCTGATTTCGGAGATAGTTTATTAAACCCAAAGAATCCTCGCTCTAGGTCACATCCCACTTCTTTGTGAGGCGATTAGCAGATTACCAAACTGGATCCGATTGATTATGACTAAGATCTTTTAAGATTGCTGATTAGTTATGGAAAAAACTTGTAATATTTACTTAGAATATATGGAATTAAGTTGTTCTATATTTTTTTGAACATAAGAGTAAATTAATTAATAAAAACAAATAATGAAAACCTAAAATTAAAATAAATTCACTTTCTACCAAAGAAAACTTTTTTATGCACACTGAATGTCTTTTAGAATGCCACATTTTTTCCTTCCCTATAAATTTATTTAAAATACTCTTCTTATCGACAAAATATTTTATTGTCTTTAAGGTGGCTTTTATTTTTTTTATTAATGAAACTAATGTTTTTATAATTCACTACTTCACTGAATTACTGTGTATATGCATATGTATATATTAATAGCGGTAATACCGCAATTCTTTTAATTTTTAAGATTAATGCTTTTATTACTTCATTCAACAACATTTAATGTACCTGTCATAAAAGAATTTGCTTAAATTTGCACAAATAATTTACGTATGTCGTATACTGCCTGACATAAATCTCAAAAATGTATCCAGTCGTTTGCCGAACAGGATGTTTAACCGGTTAGTCTTGATGAAATCAGAAATAAAACTTTATGCACTTATCTTGTTTTGCAGCACATGATGTACACTTTTTTAAAGGAATTTTTAAAAGTTACCCAGTGGAAGTTTCCTGTTATTGTATGAAGAGGAAATAAATTTTTGTAATAAATAAAAAGAAGTACTAGATTACTAAAGACTAAAGTATGCAATGAAATATGCACTTTAGTGCTTACAAAGTTTGGTAATCTGAAAGCATTAATTGATGCATTTTAGTACTCGAAAGTAAAATTCTGAAGACTAAAGTGCATTTTCTATTTTTTTTTAATTAAAGTGCACCTTTTATTATTTCTTTATTAAAATGTGTACTTTACTTACGGACTCAAAAGAGTCTTTTACTCCCGAGGCACTGAAGTTCATCTTTTAATCTTTTGAGATTAATAAATACACCTCGTAGAGACCAAAGTGTGTTTTTTAATTCCTAAACAACATTTGTACTTTAGTACCTAGGAAATAAAAACGCTTGATATTAAAGTGCATTTTTTAATGTTTTGGCAGAAAAGTGCATCTTTTAATATTATATGATGCATTTCCATTAAAAGTGTAAAAGCATCATTTACCTCCTAGTTACTAAAGTGCATATTTTAGTCCTTTCAGATACTATCTGCCTAACACTAAAGTGTATCTTTCAAACAGTATGCAGTGAACTGTGGTATCAATGCGTAAGGATTGCAAGGAGTGCAACTGCTATATTGAAAGAATTAAAATATGCACTTTAGTCTCTGAAAATTAAAAGACGCTTGAAACTAAAGTGCATTTTTAATGTTTAATAAGCAAAGTAGGTACATCTTTTAATATTAAATGCACTTTAATACGTAAAAGCATTATTTACGTCCTAGGTACATCTTTTACTTCCTTCAGATTAGCAGTTTACTCCTTATCTAACACTAAACTGTATCTTTCAAACATTATGCAAAGAAATTTCAATGCCAAGGATTGAAAGATGCTCCCTACTCCCTGTGAAGTGCAACTGCTATATTGGAAGAATTAAAAGATGCACTTTAGTACCGGGGAATTAAAAGACGCATTTTAGCTGTTAAGTAAAGTGCACTTTTTAATACACGTATATTAAAAGATGCACTTTATTTTCTAGAAATTAAAATAATACCTGGGATTTAAATGACGCATTTCAGCTCTTAAATAAAGAGCACATTTTAATACACATATATTAAAATATGCACTTTATTTTCTAGAAATTAAAATAATACACTTTATTCCTAAGTCATTTTATACATATTCGTTTCTATTTTGAACTTAGTTTTCAAGCTAAAACAGGAGTTATATATTAATACTAGGTATTTTCCGACCTAATTAAAAAGAGTCCTGTAAAGAAGTTCATATAAGCGAAAATTATTTTTTGAATAGTGTCCATCATATTTTTTTACCTATAATTATTGTAATCTTATGTCAGTATGTTTTGAACTCTTTTTGGTTTTTTCCAACAATTTGCGATTCCCGTCATGTCATTTTACATGAATTTTAAAACTGAAACTAAGTTTGAAGGATTTTATTCGATTTCTGATTAGATCATCTCCTGATTAACATTTGCTGAAAACTTATTCGTTCGCTGATCTGTCAATAAATCAGGTACATACACCACCTACTACATTTTTGTGCGATGTCACACGCGTAACAATGAAAGTGTGTTATAAAATACAAGAACCTGCTTAGGAAAATAAAGTCAACATTAATATTAAAGGAATCCTCGATTTGAACGGTAAAACGGTACAAGGTGAATCACATATAGTGGAGAATTGATTTTCTGGTGCTATGCTATTAAGGGTACAGAGCTAGTAAAAAAAAGCTAATCCAAAAAAATAATAAAAAGTCTGATGAAGCCAAACATAAAAATCTCATTAGTCAATTTTTCTATCAAAAATTATGGTTTTACATTGTAAACAGAAATAATGTAAAATTATAACAATTTAAATTGGTTCGAAAGTGGATTATTTTTTCTAGCAATAACACTAAGTTGTAAAATTACAACTAGAACGTAAATTATTACAATGGAAAGTAATATTAATGGAATTTCATATTTGAAGCATATTGAAAACTTTAGTGAAAAATTACATATACACAATTACATTAATTACATAATAAATTTGTTTGTCTTAATCGTGATGCAACAAACAAATCCGTGAAAATCATTACAATTACAATAAAATTACATTAGATTTACAGAATGTAATGCAAATTTCATGGGAATTTATTTGTATAATTTAGGAAAGATTTAAATAATTAATACTTTTTGTTACATTTTTATGAAATAGATTATGATTACACAACTTGTATAAAATATTTTGTAAAATTACTGTAGGTATTAATGTAATTTCACAATTAAAGCAGATAAATTACATTAAATTGACAAAGAAATGTACTTCTGTAAATTTTCAGAACTCATGTAAAAATGTCCATCGGTATCCATCAGATATCTATTATATCTAAATATAATGTAAATTTACAGATAATTTGAAATTGTAAAATTTTAAAATTATCACATATTGGTTGCGACACTAGCAAACGATTGATTGTCTTAAACGTGATGCAATAAACAAATACGTAAAAATCATTACAATTACAATAAAATTACATTAGATTTAGAGAAATGTGAATGTAGTTTACATTTTGTGGGATTTTATTTGTAATATTCAGAAAAAATTTAAATAACTAGTAGGTACCTACTTTTCGCTTCATTTTTATGAAATAGATTGAGATTACACAACTTGTACAAAATATTCTGTAAAATTACTGTAGTTTTTAATGTAATTTCACAGTTAAAGCAAATAAATTACATTAAACTGACAAAGAAATGCACTTCTGTAAATTTTCAAATCAACGGAAATTATATTTGTATAATTAATTATACTTAATCTGTAATCCATCAGATATCTATTGTAAATATGTGAATTTAAATTAAATGGTCTTGTCCCGTGCCAAGATCAGGAAGTTTTTTTACCCACCCAGTGTCCCCAACATAAAATTTACTATTCATGGACGTCAGGATTATCATTGTTGTGTGCTTTGAATCCGCATTGGAAAATTACACTTGATTACTCCTCCTTTGTCACTGCAATTGTAGCGGGTATGTTCACACTTACTTAAATAACAGACCGCCGTAATAGGTGTTTACTATTTCGTCCTTAATAGGTCATCTCGCCGAACAAAGTGTAACCAGTCGTTTTTATCAACGTTCAAGCGATTACACATTCTACATTAATATTTATTTAACGAGAGTTTCGTTTACATTTGTTTGTTCGATGTGTTTTGGTACGTGATAATTTATTTTCTTTCGATGATTTTATTTGCAATTGTGATCAAGTCTGACTGGCAATATAATTTTTCCAAAGAATTTGTTTTTGATTTTTATTTTTGGGAAATAGTTCAATTATGTTTAATTAATTTGAATGCATTACTACGCCATTACCGCGTTTTTATGGGGCAATTCGTTAATTATAAAATCAGAAGTAAATTTTCTTTTGTTTTCTTTAGAGTTACTGCGATTTTCCGTATTGTATTGTGATAATATTCAAATGAATCCCATCATGATGATACAGCTAAATCAGTTCAGCATTTTAATTGTTGTTTAATTAAAAACAAAACAGTACTTAAAATAATAATCCTTACAAATTATCAAATATATTAAATAACTTTTCCTGAAATCGATATCAATATCGTATAAAGTAATTTTATCAAAATATTTTCATTAAATTATATTTTGGAGTTCAAAGTTAGCATAAAGTTTATATATGGAGCATTCCATGTCAAATCGCTCAATTCGTGACCAGACCATTTTTAATTTTCAGGAGCTTTCATGATTTTATTGAAATCTTTTATTTTAATCCCTTTCTTCTATTTCGTCGTTAACCTATCTACTAATATAAATGCTTTTACTAAATATAAATGGTATTATGGAAAACAAACTTTTTAATATTGAAAAAAAATCGGAATATTTAGTTAATAATAATTTAGATATCTAATAATGACAATGTTAATAGAAGTAGTTTTAAAAATATTTTATTTTTAGTAATTATTAATCGTCACAATTTACTTCTATTTCTATAACAACAAAATTTTCTTTAATAGAGTACATTATCTGTAAAAAATTAAAATACAAAAAAAAATTAATTTGAAAAAAATAGATTAAAAAAAATCCCACTCTAGAACCTATCTCTTAAATTTGCATATTGAAAGACGATTTTTTTTTAAGTTTTTCGAAAAAGAAACTTCTAAAAGTACCTTTTTGGTTATAAATTAAAAAAAAAACAAAAAACAAAAAACTAAAAATATTTTTTAATACTTTTTTTTGTAAAACTACATCTCAAAACGAACAAAATGAAAAAAAAAGGTTAATATCTTTAGTTTTTGAAATGTTATAGGTATTTGAACATTTTTTTACCCAAAATATTCAAATACTAATAACTTCCTGATGGGTCGAAATAAAAATTTGAAAAAGTGCTACTCTAAATGGATACTAAATAACAACAAAAAATAAGGAAAACTAAAAATGGTACAGTTTCGACGTCAGTGATGTGGCATGGAATGCCCCATATAATTCATATTAAAGATATTTTTAAAAAATTGTGTAAAATTTTTGAATAATATGAAATACAAAATATAATTCTTTAGAAATAGACGAGACTATGTTTCGATTTTTGATTTGTTGGTGTTTCGTCGTGATTAAATTGACAAAATAATTTTATAAAACTTGCAATATACAGGGTGTTATTCAAGTACGTGGTCAAAATTCAAGGGGTGATTCTTTGGGTGATTCTAAGACGAAAAGTTTATATAAACGTAGGTCCGGCAATGCTTCGTTTTCAAAATACATTGTCAAACTTTAAAAAAAAATTTATTTCGTTTTTTCGTAAAAATCTTAATCCATTAGTCAATTTTGTTGAAATTTGGCAGTAATTTGTGGTAGAAAGGGGTTAACTTAGCCCTAACTAGATTAAAATTATTAAGTTCAGTGGCGTCCCGGGGGTATTTTAACCAATATTTTTGACAAGAAAAATGTGCGCCACTGACTTTTTTAAAATTTTTATAATTTGTCGCATTAAGCAACTAAAAATACAACTTTTTTGTCCCTTGCGAAAAAAATTATTACAGTTTTAAAAAAGTCAGTGGCGCACATTTTTTTTGTCAAAAATATTTGTTAAGGTGCCCCCCGGGACACCAATTTAAATCTATTTAGGACTAAGTTTGCCCCTCTCTACCAAAAATAACACTGCCAAATTTCAACGAAGTTGGCTAAAGGATTATTAAGATTTTTACGAAAAAACGATTTTTTAAAAAAAGTTTGGCACTCTGTATCTTGAAAACAAAGTATTCCCGATCATATAAACTTTTCGTCCTAGAATCACTCATAAAAACCACCTAACAAAAGTTTGGCCGCGTACTTAAATAACACCCTGTATACAAATTGTTGAAGATTTGCCTTACACTGTTTATTGAAAATGTATAGTTTTATTTGAAATGACATTGAAATTGAATTTTTTTTATAAATCTTTGCACTTTCTGATAGACACAGTACATATTTCTAAATTATAAATACTAATTAACTTTGACAATAGTAATTAGTGTTTTTTAAAGAGTATTTACGTGTTTGTTTCAACGAAATATGAAACTAAAAACCTTTTTCTTGCCATAAACTTAAAAAAAAAACGCCTACTGCTTTGGTTCAAACAATTTTAACTTACCCCTGAATTTTCCTGTTGTCTTTTGTTTCGGCGTAAATGTTTTTTGCAGACATTCACTGGTTTGGTTTGCGTTTGTGTTGACAGCGTCATAAGTCTTCCCGACCAAACTGTTCCACAGCGTTAGAAAATCTTTCATTTTGGAATTCTTATGTCTCGATCAACAAGCGTGGGTTGAGTTCAATGTTAATGTCACTCACACAAAGGGCAAGACGTGGGTTATTCGCACTTGAAACTGAAATATTAGCGCCAAAAGCGTATAATGTAAAATTTGGCTTTAATTTTGAACATGCGACGTTGTTCTTTATGTTTGGCGTTTATTCTGGTCAAAATTTTTGTGTGTAGTTCAAAAATAGAAACCCTTATATATTTTCTAAATTTTGGTTTCGCAAGTTTCACAATAAAATATTAATTTAGTTTAATTTAACAAATTTGGACAAAATAAATATAAAATTTTTCTAATTTTTTATACGTTTATTTTTGAAAAATTGTTATCCCAGTATTATATTCATCTAAAAATTTTAGAAACATCACCAGTTATAAATAACTAAAAAATATAAAATATTCTCAAAGAAATAATTTACAGCGAAGAACTAATTTAAAACTTTTTTTCGTTTAATAAAATTTTTCTTGTTATATTTCACATGTCATTCTTTTAAGAAAAACAGCCGGAACGCTCACAACAATTTTTAACCGCAGAATAAACGCCACCATGAATTAAAACTCACTCTATTCTATCAAAGGAACAAATCGGGACGAATCCTTTTTATCTGAAAAAATCGCACTATCACTGGAAAACAAAGCACCCAAACAAACAAAAGCAAGCGTACGCTCTGTGACTTGATTCAATCTATTAATTTTAGCACAGGCTTTTGTCATATATAGATATGGCTAAGACTGCACTTCTGCCAATATCACTTTCACTGACCAATGGGAGGCCGTCTCAACTATTCGCCTACCCCCTCCATGGCGTCCAGCGTGGTTTCAGCGTGTGTCTGAAGCCGGTCGTCTGCATAATCGTTTGTTTTGATTTGTAACGACGCGGAATTCCCTCGCAGCGATTATTTCATTGTTATTTTAATGTGCGGTTAAGGTAATGTTCGAGTGGTGCTGATAAGCATGTCATTCGTTTGTTAAATCAATCAGAGTACGTATATTATATATAAAGCCAATTATTTTCGGTTATTTGGCGGTTTATTTCTTTTCCCAATTCGTGGAGTGATCGGAAAGAACACCTGTATGTAAACTATTTCAAAAAATTGTGTAACACACCCAGTACCAGGTATAACAGCGAATATAGGCCGTTACAAATTCGCTTCTCACTACAGGGATCTCGGAAACGGCAAGAGATACGAAGTAGCTTGAATGGGGACAAAGTTGCGTAATCAGCTTCTAAAAAATATCACCTCAAACAAGGCTGAAATTAAACAAACACGGATTTCCAAAATTTCGTTTTTTTTCAAATATTACGAAAACTATAATCTGTTTAGAAATGAAAGAGAGTAATAAAAGCTTATTATATATGCAAATCGTAAATAAATGTAGGTCTGATGCTTATATTCAATATTTTTATATTATGTATTATCGGTATAGATGAGGTGTAATTTTAACAAAACTTTGTGCGATCGGACTGTACTAAATTGTAGCATGTAGCTAAAATTTAATCCCCGACAATCCGTCTTTGTCTATGCCGCTTCAATTTCTCGGTCCATTTCTCTTATAAGTAAACAATATAAAAACAGCATTTCAAAACATGAGGCTACTTTAAGCATCATAACCGGGTTAAGAGGGTTTTTAGTAATTCAAATAAAATTATTCAATATTATTATCAAAATATTTATTTAAATTTAATGAATAGACTTTTATTCCACACAAAAATATATGTATTTTGAAAATTCAAATTATGGTGAGTAAATGNTGTAGATGATTTTGGGGGATTTACAGTATCTTGTTCATTTTTTGTTTCCTTTAAAAGTCTGTAGATAGTCGATTTTCCAATCCCTGTCATTTTGGAACACTTTTCCACGATGTCGTCAACACTGTTGGTAGGATTTTGGTGTTTCAATGCATTAAATACATTTAATATAATAATCTTCTCATTCTGAGACAGCGCACATCTTTTCACGCGTTTAGCAGGTACGTAATCTGATAAGCTCGACATTTTACCCAAACAATATTATATCCACTGGCACAATAGTCACTAAACACAAGTCGAATTTTACTCTACTGCACTAGCACGTCTTCGTATATTCAGCTCTAAGACTGGATTGATCTGTCACAATACACTGGCTCCTGCCCTATGATGTATCCAGTAAAATATACTAATGTTACCATTACCTGTTAGCATTAGTGTTACCCGATAATTACCTGAAACGAAATATTACCACGCCCATGGGCGGTTCTTATCTCGGGGGTTTATTACTCTCTTTCATTTCCAAACAGACTATAATCATGTTAGATTTTTTAGAAGCATAATGTTGGTTCCCTGATTACGCAACTTTGCCCCCATTTAAGCTACTTCGTACCTCATACAGTTTCTGAGATCCCTGTAGTGAGAAGCGAATTTGTAACAGCCTGTATAATTCAATCAATAGATATACCATAATTTGGGACATTTTCTATTACTGTTTTTATTAAATTTGGTACTTCTGCCAAAATAAAAAGAAAAATATATCTCTAATTTCATTAAAGAAACTAAATTTTTCTAGTAGATAAAGTTTATGACATAAACATTGATAATTTGAATAATGAAGGACATTATTACAAAATCTATAGAAAGCAAAATAAATATTGTCATTATTTCGTGGGATTAAAGACAATCTATTAAATGAAAACTATTTTTCCTTAGTGAAAGCTTTCGCAATATTGGCAACAAATCGTACCTAGTTAATATAAAATATTTTCACTCGGCAATAAAATGGCTAAAATTTTATTAGACATTGTTAAATCTCTGCTGGATTTTCTGATTAATTAAAAAGGGACATAAAACATTTCTTGGAAAAACTTTCATCTGGCAGTTTCAACATAAATCATTTAATGGTGGGTTTTGATGTAGTTAGCCTATTTTCCAATGCTCCTGTAGACAAAAAAATTACAAAATTATACGGGGTCGCTGATATGTACAGAAACGGTCGATTATCTCCTAAAGTAAGACAGCTCTCGAAAAATCATAAGACACAAACGTTTTAGGGATTTTTAAAATCTGTTACAATACAGGAAAATTAAGTATACAGGATCAGTCAAAAAGTCATGACGTAACAAAGGTGTTTTTTCTTTAACACCCTGTGTATTATTCCATATTTCAATTCTTATCGAAATTCTAAACAAAATTCATGTACCTAATTCGAATTCTAAATTTAACCTAAACTTAACCGTTTTCGAGATATCGAACTTTGAAAATCATTTCCTTATAAATGATACATACAAACATTTTTTAGTCCATTAAGTTTTTATATAGTCCATCAAGTTACCTTTGAAAGTTTCTAGCTCCATAACAACGCCGCTTCGTTCTTTTGTCTAACAGTGATTATCTTGACAACGTATTTAAAAAATACATTTAGTGTGAATAATTTTCTCGCAAAAATGACACGTTTAAGTGAAAACCCAGCGTAATGAAGTTATAATGATAATAGAATATGGTGATAGAATATGGTGATAGATGGTGATAGATATGGTGAAGTTAGGGTTAAAAAATCCCGCTTTACTACACGTTCCTACGCCACTGACCTACAAACATTTGTAAATTTTACAGTAAACTATGCACATGTGTAAATGTTAACACTACACGAAATTTGAATCAATTTGTTACAAGCATACCGAATATTTCATAAATAATGATTTTAAAAACCGACCAATACGGTCCTGTACAGTGAAAACGGTGAGAGTTAGACCATTGCTTTATAAGACAATTCTGAATTATTTATTCAGTTCTATTTGTGGTTAAAGTTTGATTCACTCGAACTGAAACACACTGTATATGTGGATATATTTTATAAACACACTGTACATATTTTCATTGGTAGTCATTATGATTTCTCGAAATCAATTTGCATTAGTCAATTAGTCTTGAACTTTTATAAAAAAAACAAATGTGAAAATACAAAAAAAAACAAAACGGTGGCACTATTCAACTGAACAAGCTGTTATTGCCACATACTTTTAGTTTAATGGAAACTCTAACGTTTATAATAATGTATTTAAATGTCCCTTAATTGCAAAGAATTGCTTTTTAATGTGTACGCGGTATGCAAATCGTGTATGAAAGTGTTAGAATATAAATCGCTCTTTTATAGGACAAGTGGCTTCGAGTGATATTTGATTTTTGCCCATTTAGGTTTTTGCAAAAGCGCGAATTTCGAAATATTATTGTTTTAGAAACCTTTTCCATTAAATCTTACAATGGACGATTTATGGGTTGTAATATTTTTTTAATGTTGGTGTCATCAAATCGGGTGTGTGTGTGTGTGGATATTGTATATGAATGGCCATTACTGCTAGCCTAAATACCGAAAACCTTGCGCAAAGGTTCAAAAAATTAATCAATTTGGCAGAAGCCTTTCACAACAATTGAAAAAGTTGACATTATTTGTTTGTACTGGTTGTGGGTCGGATGTGGACATTGCCGTTACACTGAGAGAAATGTTCGTACCAGGCATTTGCTTGGACATTTTGTTGTTCCAAAAAATAGGAAACTATTTGCTGGAAATTGAAAATATTGAATTGAATATATCATATTTTTTGTTGTTTTGAAATTATATAAAGGCAATATACATGAAACCAACCGAAAGACCAATGTTAATTGGATTTTTAGATAAAACTAGTTACTAATATAAAAAGTATATAAAATCAAACTTTCTCAGGAGTTGAAATTTTATCCAAGGTTTGAAAAAGGTAAATTACAAATTGTATATGATTGTTTTTATCACCGAAGAATATATATAAAATAAATTATAAACAATGCATTTTTTTGCACTGCTTTATACTAGAACTATATTAGTACCATCAATACTGTATCGTCATGAACCTTGTTACTGCGTTGTAATATCACTTTACTGCATCGTAACGTCACCGTCATTAAAATATAATTTAATAGGATGTTATTAATTTATGATATACATTGGTAGTACAATTAATTAAATTAAAAAAATTTATAACATCTGATTCAACTACTTCAGTGTGTTCCTCCTGAAAACTGTATTGTTCACCAGCGTTTTTGAACAGTCTTTTTGGGGTGCCTTTAAACCTAGATGTAATTCATTTTCAATGTTCTAATATTATTAATGTTGTCTTCAACATATTCCTCTGCCACACTTGGTGATTGCCATCCTATATGATTTTTAAAGGTTTAAAAAACGACCTGTGGCAGAGGTTCTTATCATGCAATGGCCAGTGGGAGTTTTAATAATTCTGGAAGACTATTTTACTTAAGAGGTCTATATTAATAATTTAGAAACCAAACTGTCTAGTCTATTTCTTTAAATTCATAACTTGTCGAATTTTGTAACGATAATTGTTTGAGAATTTGTTATTTTCATTTTTTCATTTTATTACAAGTACGGAGAGTGTGTAGCTGAGAATATGTGCATATTACGTAGAATTTTCGATATGAAACAACTCTGAGAAGATTAGTTGCCAAAGATTTTATTATATTGTATATATAAATCATTACCCTCATTCTCTAGTATACTCTTAAGCACTGAAGAAAAAGAACATCAAATAGAATGTGCAAAGAAAGTAAAATACTTAGGTATAGTAATAGTTTCACTTCTAAAATGGAACGAACACATAAAGTATATAATAAACAAACTAAGATCAATAATGTATAGAATAAAATATTTAAAGAATATACT